TGATTTAAAAATATATATAAAAATGGGGAATATCGCACTTCTAACAATCTCTGTGAGTATGTGGGCTAAATTTAAAGAAACCGTGCTTCTCACATGGACAACTGTATGTGGCCAACTCACGCGTCGGAGAACCTTCTGATTTATTCGTGTACGCACCAGACGATAAAACAAAAAATTTCGTGTATCCACAAAGCACTCCAATAAATAAATAAAATTGAAATGACACTTTGAAATGTTTTCCCGATGAAAATGAATAATAATAAAAAGTTTCAATTAAAATGATAAAATGTAAACTTAATTTTATCATAATGAGTTTGCTTGAATTTTGTTTCTTCTGAGATCGCAGCAATGCGCGACGGGTAAGCTAGTAAAATATAAATCTCATATAAAATGCTTATTGTCCAATACACTATTACATTCAAAATTAATTGTTGTACAAGTACAATGCCATTAACAAGAGCAATCAATTATTTAGAATCAAAAATAATTTTTCTAATAAACTAATTACAGCCATTGTTAATAGGGGAGCTCCTATATTCACAAATATTCAACTTATGAACAATTGTCTAAATGACCATATGTCTAAGATATAAATTTTGCGTGGATTCTGAATTGCTCTTGGCTCTTGCAGTTGTATCGAAGTCAGTCTTCAGCTAGTAATAAATAAATAATGTGGATTTATTTCTTTTGTATATTGTCATTTTTTGCTTTTGCAAATTTTGACATTCCATAACTATTCATTGGGTGGTACCAAAGTAAATAACATTGAAATAATGGTTTTTTTGCTATTGTTTGCAATTTTCATAATCTTTTCTAATCAGTGCTTCAAAAATGAATCCAAATGTAATAGTAAATCTAACAGTTGAAATAAATGCAAGAAGTGTGGTTCTATTATTGTGGAAACTAAACTTGACATTATAAAACTAAGTGTGTTTAAGTGAAGAAAAACCGCATTTGAAACATCTGTTACTAAGCCGTAGCAAGTGGTAAATGAGTATAATGTATTCTATCAAGTATACTGAAGGATCAAATACTAACAATACATAGTTATCCTGCATACAAATGTACTTTCTATCTTATTTTTCAACTTATGAACATTTTGATTTATGGTAAAACTTCAGAAACCTAACCTGTTTGTAAGTAGGAAAAGCATCTGTACATAATAATATCATTAAACTGACTATAGAAGTGACACTCTCAACAATACATTTAATTCTGAATACTTTATTACACACTTACTGTTATCTGCAATTCCTAGAGAGTGATCTGCATCTCCAATTACTACGACTGGTTGAGGTCTATTTTTCTTCTGTCGTTTTGGTTTGGGAATGTCAGTTTCTTCAATATTGACTGCAAGAATTAAAAAACTATGTACTTGCATATTTTCCAATTTAAAAAATTCCTATAAAATACACTAATTTTTAATTAATTTCTTTACTATCCACTAGTAAACTATTAGTAAATGATATCTAATAAATAATGCTAATTCAATTTCAAACTGTACAATTGTAAAGTAATTAACTTAAATTATAACTAGTAAATTTATTCTTAAATAAAATTGAAGCTACAAAAAGAATGATGTAAATTTAAAACATTATTTAATTTGTTATTCAGTTATTTTTAGAATTATTTATTTTACAATTTTAATACATTAAAAATTACTAGTTCAATAAAATCAATGCTAATGAGTCTTGCAGTGATAGCTTTTTAATTAATAAACTGTTTATTTTAAAATAAACAATGATAAATTTTATTAAATATATTCAACCAAGCTTGATAATCCAAGGTGGGTGATAATTAGATAAAGAAAAAATGAGTAAAGAATATATTCAGATGTGCACAGATACATGTTTGGTTGGGCTAATCCGTAAGGTAACAGCTTTTTTCATATCCTAACATTTAGAGACATTTGACTGATAAAACTCCAGAACAAATAAGTTTTTTCAACTGTTTTGGACTTTCTACAAAAAAAATTTTCTAGAAAGTCCAAAACAAGATGCCATCAAATCTAAGACATCTTAATTTCCACATGCTCACCCACAGATTTTTTTTTTTTTAAATAATAGAAGACCCGAGACAAGCAACTCTGAGACTTTTCTCTTTCTCTCAACAGAAGTGGAAGAGTTAAACATCAGAATTGAAACCGTCATAAAACGAAAATGCTACATTTCCGGACATGTGTTCCTAATCAAAATATTATGTACTCACTCCCCTGTACAAGTCCCAGAAGTTTGTAACAGGAATTTCCGAACACCCTGTATATCACTGTCTGCTGCGGTATGAAAGTCATAATCTCTTCATTTTCTATGCTAGGCTCTTCAGAATCAACACTGAATTTGATACACACATCTTCATACACACAATCATCCTTACAGCATCGAAAATCCAACATTTCTGAGACTGTCGCATTACTTTTTCTGGGATTTTTAACCATTTTTATAAGGGTTTAGTGATATTTAGGTTTTTAACTTAGTCTTTGGAAAGTCACATCTCACAAGAACTAATACCATTTGAGACATGTGTTTGGTTATGATTAATATGATTAATATATATTACAGAAAAATATTAATCAGAATTGATATAAAATATGTTTTAACCTACACTGAATTATATAATATTACTGATATATGTTAATTAAATTAACTATTTAATATTAGATGCCTGAAAATGTAAAATAACATTGTTCTAAACTTATAAATTAAAACAAATTTATTTACATCTGTTGTGCTGAACAAAATTGACAGCCATGTTGGTTGGAACAAATGAAGTACCACTCTCTTTCTTTATCATTCTTTCTCTTAATAATTTTTGTTTTTCTTCTTCGGTTGCTTCTATATTTCTTATTCTTTCACTGAATAATAAAAAATAGTTTGATTCAGAACAATGTGACAATAAATATATATAGAAAAACTAATAAATATTAAATTTAATATGAATGATTAATAGAGATGCATCGAGTAACTGATTACATTCAATGGCCAAATGTCCAAAGTGGTGAAGGTATCAGCCTCCCACTATAAGGAATCCAGAAACAAATGCAAGAGTTTGAAAAACCCCCAGCAATTTTTAGGAAAGACTTGTCTCGAATGTGTTGAGCCCTATCCTTCACCATCCTGTCACCCCAATCATGGATCTGACCAAACCCAAGATGGGTATGAAAACAGATCTTCTTTGAGCCCACAAGACAGAATTAAAATAACTGATCATATTAAGTTTCATACTTATATACATTTAATGAAATCACTTTAGAATTTACCTATACTGATACTATTATGCATTCCACATCAATCAGTACACCGATATAACAGTCACAAATTATATCTAATATTACGTGATTAGTCTGGAAAATGAGATGAAGGTCCAGACAGTATAATTGGGAAGACATCTGCACAGTTAGTGAGAGTTGCAAGTTTGAGTCCCACTTGGGATGATATTTTCTTCCAGGATATTCTAAAAATTACATTTTACTTACTTATTTATAATTGTTATATTTAACAAGAGATAATGGCCTGGTAGCATATCACCTGCCAAATTACTTAGTAATTGCTTATGTGAAAATCTGACTCTCTTAAGAGAATTTTATTAACTACAGAGCAAAATTGTATGTTTCTTTAATCATTATTTCCATTATTTCTCCCGTTATCACTCCGTTGCCCGAGGAATAGACCCTGGACAATAAAGTGCGTAGTTACTGGAGATGACCTTCTTGACGGACGAAGTCGTCCGAGGCAACCGCAGAAGAAATCACTCTCTCCCCAGGAGACTACTCTATTACAATATTTCACTAATTGGCTAAACCGCAGACACCAACATTTGTTCCTGGGTGGAGAGTGGACAAAAGGTCACCTATTATGGTCAACTATACGGTGAGAAACCTTACCAAAAACGGTCAGTCATCTCCCCAGGTGATGACACGTTTAGTGCACTGGCCAGACATCTCTTGACCAATAAGTGTTGAATTCGCCATAAGATGTCAATAGTGTCGTCACCCATGACGGGGGAGACTGTCATAAATCGGGAGAACTGACATATTGCGTCAACAGAGTCCCCCGAGATTTCCCACGCTAAAAAAGTATAAAAGGGGAACAGTCCAAGGACTCGAAGTGATCGTCGGGGAAGAAGACTACAAGTGCCTACTCTACTCTGGAAGGAGTTCGAGGTTTCTGATTGCCGATCTAAAAGAGGTAAAGCCTTATATTATTTTTTCTTCCCTCTCTCTCAATATAATTGGGACTTAAAATTAATCTTCTCTCGGTATACTCGGGACTTAGAAATTAATCGTCTCTCGATATACTGGAGACTTAAAAAATAGTCTCTCTATATGTACGCGGGACTTAGAATTATTGAATCGAGGACCTTCGGCATGGTCCCACTAACGGGATAGACAAACGTCGGATGTCCGATATTGTCGCGACGCAGAGATATTATCATTACTATTTACTTATTTTTGTTTAACGTTAATGTATTCTCATGTATTAGTATTATTTGTTTTATAATTAAATGTGTTATTCTTAAATTTTACGACTATCTTTGTATACTGCCGACACCTCATCACGACTTCATTACGCCTCCCACTCCTTTTTGCCCTCCTATAGCCATTCTCTGACAGCCAAGCCAATAAGTGGGGAGAAGCTCTCCGCTTCAGCCCCCTCGGTTTAGCCTTAT